CGGCCCTCACAATGTGATCGCATTCAACACTCGTTCCCTATCACAAGAGATAAATGGAATTGCAACTAATCTAAGAAACTATACATATATATATATATATTAGACAGCACAAATCAAAGAAAGGTGCACTTGCCTCTAGCCGGTTGTACTTCTCAAGAGCAGCCGCGACCATCTCTTCCATGTACTGGCGGGAAGTTTTGCCAGGTAAGCACTCGACATCGAGTTTCACGGGAAAATATCCCCCTATGCATCTTGGAGCGCTTCCAAAATCCACCTTGAAACCCTAAGCGAAAAGATATACCCAAAAAGTTCATCTCAACAACGAACTAACAGGATAAATGCTACCCTTGACTCGAGGAATTTGTTAAAAAAATTGCTCTTTCAGTAAAAGACATACCCTGGACTCGTAAATCTGGCGAAGATAGCGACGCAATTTGAGGTCAGTCTCCTCATCGGAGAAATACATCTCGTCGTCGTTAGGAGATTCGTACTCCGAACCATCGAAGCTGTCGACACCCCACTCCGGAAGGTCCTCTGCGCTGCTATTATCGCTTTCTCCGGCCTCATTCTCGATCTCCATATCGCCATCTTCTTCGTCGTCTTCAGGACCAGAAGCATATTCGGAATCAGAGGCATCTTCTTCGGCCTTGCGCTTTTTCACAGACGAATCAGCGATCCCCATTAATTCCGTCATCTCGTGCTCGTTCGGAGCTTCTTCGGTCGTCGTCTTCACCTCGCTCGTCGATTTGGGATCCATGGTCGAAGAAACCCTAGACACAAACCTCCAAAATCAATTTGGGAACCTAACGGCGAAAATATCTTAATCCTCTCGGAAACAGCAAACACTATCTTTATCTTATATTTACGCTATTGCCATCACATTCAGTGCTTTTGACCTTTTCTTTTTTTCCTTTTTCTGGTTGGAAATTATGGAAACTACCCCACAAATTCTTCATATCCAATTTTAAAAATAGTTAATATTGCCTTTTAGAAATTGTATAATAAAACTTTAAAATATCTACGGGAAAATAAATTATCGGAGGATGTGGTAACAACATATTGGCAGTTCTAGTGTAAAACTGCAAAAAAAAATTATTATGAATAAATGTAGTTTTTTTACAAGAGACGTGATTCATACTTTTTTGAAAAAAATGCGAAGCATATACAATAGAGATTCACACTTTTATTAAAATGTTTTTTTCCTACCTCTAAGATATGAGTGAACTTCAGCCGAAAAGATGTGATTATGGATGTGGTATTGCCATATGAGATCCCAGACCATATTGCTTTGAAACCTTAATCGCTTTGCTTAACCACAAAACAGAGTACACTAAAACAAATTCACAACAACACATATTTGCACTAATATTTTACAATTCTAGACATCTTGGAGGAAAGACAGTTTCAACACCAATGGACGCCAATGTGAAACTTTATTAGGATTATGGCGATCCATTTTTTGACATAACTAGTTACTGCAAGCTTATTGATTGACTCTTGTATCCCACAATTACAAGATCGGACATTACATATGCAATTCACAAGTTGTCTCAACTTTTGGCAAAGCCAACTATGGATCATATGAAGACTGTAAGTTGGATTGTAAGATAGTTGAAGAGCAATCCAAGATAAGTGTTATACTATTTTGCTACTTTTGAAACGCATCTAAAAGACTTTGCGACGCAGATCGGGTATCATGCCTTGACAATTCAAGAAGATTAGTTTTAGGTTAATGTGTTTTCCTTGATAATTCTATGGTATCTTGGAAAGCTAAGAAAATTTGTTTATAAATTTGCATATATCAATTTCTAAACTTGTAAATTTGTGTCGTGATAAAAAAAATCTACAATTCACATTATTTCCAATCATGTTTTTCACGAGAAAACCAAACACATTGACATTAATTATTGTCTTGTGCAAGAGAAATTGCGGAGTGATTTTCTATGGATGAAGCTCGTGACAATTGAGAACCAACAGTTGATATATTCACTTAAGCCTTCAACTAGCTCAGTTCTCTCATCGTTTATCCAAGTTACAAACTTCAAGTCTGTATCTCCCGATAGACTTGAGAAGATGCATGAACATTGAAAATAGAGTTTCATGTTTGGCCAAATTGTAGAGTTGAAGGTACTTTGTATAAGCCAATGATAAAGAATATTTTTTTTTTATATCAAAGTACTACAAAACCACACATATATATACTACTCTTAAAAACATTCTAGTATATGATAATAATTGTACATAATAAAATATCATCTAATATAGAGTAAATAGTTTGTAAAATTCTAAGAACATAAATTACCAAACATTGAACACACATTTCCAATTAACCAAAAACTAGGAATAACAGAGTAAGATTCGAAGCGAAGTTCGTTACCAATTTGAGCTGAGTTGGAATATTAGTTAGTTAAACTTTGATGAGTTGTTCATGTTAAATTAGGATGGTTAATATTTTTTTCATTGTATTTAAGTGTTGAACATTTTAGAGATGAATCTATCTAAGAAAATTTCTTAACAACTTTCCATTTCTCTCTCTAATTTCCTTTGTTTTTTGAGATTTCCTCATTTACAAAACTACTCTCTCGCTAGTTTTTGATAGGAGTCTTTCTTGTTTCATCGTTTGTTTCTTGGTTTAGATTCTTTATATCAGTGATTTCTTTGAATTTTATGGATTCAAATATTTAGCTTAGTTTGTAATTTTTTTTTCAGTTGTGTTTTGAAATAGTTATTATAATTTATGGTTGTTTTTTTAGAATTTATGATCGAATCTTATGAAATGAGATCTCTTTTTCTCCTACTTTATGGATATTAGTCCATGAAGAATGTGAACAAAGATTATGTTAGAAGTTATGCTAGGAGTGTCAAATAGTCCGATCTTATCCCAACCTGCACACAGACACAGTCCAAAGGTTTTAGATTCGGGGACGAGCGTGCCCGAATTTTTTCGAGTCTACAAAACTAAACCCAAAGCCCGATACTATAAGATAGACTCGAGTTAGATCGGCCCGTGAATTAGGGTTTTGTTTTTCATTTGAATCATTTTATCATATATAATAATTTTTTTGAGTTGGACTTACTAGTCGACCCGATATCTATCAGCTTAACTCGACCAAGTCTGAAACCGGTTTTTTTCATAGAGTCAAGTTCGAGCTGGATCATTTTTTCGAGCGTGGTCGGGTTTTGGGTCGCAAACCATAATTGTCATCTTTAAATTATATGTTGTTTCTAGGTATTGTGTGTGTATTTAATGTATCATATTACTTCTAGATTTTAGGAAATAGTATCATCCTCGTGACGCAACAAGCAGGTATATATATATAAAATAACATGTTTAATATATACTAATAATTCATTTTTTATAATATTATTATTTTCCTGGTGCAGCATATTGTTGGGATGTAGTTGTAACACAGTTGTTACAAGCCGGATTCAACATTAACAAGGATGTCAAATATATGTTGGAATTTGAATTGGAAGAGTTGGTTGACATCATAAAGTCATTTAAAGGGA